TAGTATTCAAGGTTGGTACTATTTCCTATCTATTGCAGTTGAGCAGGCTGTTCTAATTCTCAATTCTCTGTGATATTTTTTGTCTTTTCATCTCTAAATTCTCAGTGTCCTTAAATTTTAGATGATGTGTCTTAGCACACTCTTTTTTGTTGACTTTGTTGGGTACTTGCTCATAATCCTCTCAAACAGGAACTTTGTGTCCTTCATTTCTGATCAATTTTATTGTTGTTGTTGTTTTTTTCCATACTGCTCCTCTCTACTATTTTCTTTCTAGAACTTCCATTTTTCATATTAAGTAAGACTGAACCTCTAATTTTCTTTTTTCTCTGTTTTTTAAAATCTGTTATCTTTCATTCTACTTTTTTGAGCAGTATTCCTTGATGGTCTCATCATATTTTATTGAATTTTTATTTCTATCATGTTTGTAACTGGTAAGAGCTCTTTCTTATTCTCATTTCTTTTGTTCATACCAATGATCTTGTTTCACAGTTATAATAGCTTCTTTTCTGCTCTGGGAACACAAATAAGTGTAAAATCTTCCTTTCTGAGCTTCTAAATTTGTTCATTCATTTTATTCTCTGTCCCTCATATTTCAAGTTTTTCTTAAACCTGTGCTGAAACTCTTGCCCATTCACAATTAAAACAGTGGAATGATAGTTGGAAGTTTTGTGCCCCTGGGTAGGACTTACTGACTGATAGGATTTGGGAACCTAGTAGCAACTCAGGTTTGGTTGATGGATCTCAAATATAGGCTATATTAATATTAGACAAGCAAACTTTAGACTAAAAAGTATTACTAGAGATAAAAAGGCATAAAATATATCATAATTATTAAATATTTAATTTAGTAGCTAAGGTAATTATAAATTTGTGCATTTCTATTAATACAGTCTTAAAATATACAAAGCAAAACCAATAAAACTAAAAGTAGAAAATACATAAATTTAAAATCATAACTGAAGATTTTAATACATCTCTCTCATCTGATTGAACAGGTAGACAAAAATACTAGTAAATATATAGAAGATTTATGCAATACAATTAGCAACTCTATCCATCTATGTATATAACAATCACTGTAACTGACAACCATCACATTTTTCAAATTCTTACAGAACATTTACCAAAACAGACAGAGGAACTTTATTAAACACCAATAAAAAAAAAAATGATTACTAGAAAATTCTCAAATAGTTAGAAAATAAAAGGAAATACACTTTACCAATAGAGCAAAAATAAAATCACAATGAAAATTAAATTATTTTGATTTAAATAATAAAATTCCTACCTAAACTGCACCCCTATCAAAACATGAAGGATACAATTAAAGTAGGAAATGCTTAAAAGACATTTATAGCCTTAAGTACATATATTGGGGAAGGGGAGGCTTGGTTTCAATGACTTAAGGTTCTACATTAAAAAGGTAGAAAAAGAAAAGTAAATTGACCCAAGCAAGGAAATAATAAAGACAGAAACTGATGAAATACAAAACAAGTATTCTACGTATTTGTTTTCAAAGCCAAAAATATTCAAATATTCACAGCCAGAAATTGGCTCTCTGAAAAATTAATAAGGCCCTAAGAGTACTTAACAATAAGTACCCTTGGAAGGTACAAACCTGACTATCAAGATATTTAGAACAAGGACATAAGAGCCAGGAAGGGGGAGTGACTGGTATTCTAGTGTCTCAGAGGCACAAAAGAGAAAGAGGCTGGGGAAGAAGCCCACTTCAGTTAAGCCTGAAGATGTGAAGAACTTCAACTTGTAGTTCTTTAGGACATAATACAACAATTGGTATGTAAATAAGTACTCCTTTTATACATATCCTCATATAATACTCTCTGGTGCATATGGATAAATAGGGTCCATCATTGAAATTATAGATTTCTTGGGAGAGGAGTTATTCAATAGAGCTTCTTATTTCATCCCTTGAGAAATGGTTACCCTCTTGAAAATACAACTTCAAGAGTTTCTTTTCGCCAATAAACAAAAGCAATATGGAAATTTAGCATTCATCCAGGACCTTAGGTGGAGAAGGAACAGCAAGAAAGTGAGGGAATGTAGGCAAAATACAAAAAACCCCACCAGCTTATACCCTACCCTATTGTGGATTTTAAATTAATACCACCTATAAGGTGGAAGAATCCCAAGTCATGAAATTAATATAATGCCTGGTCTAAAACCACTGAAATGCCAATGGCTCCAGCAGAAGTAAACTTGAAACTATTCAATGGCTCTGCAGAACTCATAGGGCTTTCCACCTGTGTGTGTGTGTGTAGGGTATCACTGAAAATGAATGCACAATCATAAATTACAAACACATGAACAATCCAGCAATTTCAATGAACAATTTATCCTACATCTAGTAAATAATAGTAGAAATAACAGAACTAATCTAAAAGAGACTATAAAATAAATTTAATATTACCATAAAGATAAAAGGAGAAAATGAAAACATACTGAAAGAAACCATATAAGTATGTATAAAAAGAGCTGGTAGAATATGAATTATTAAAAATAACCAAATATAAATTTTGCAGATAAAATATAGTCACTAAAAACAAACAAGTTAATGATCATATTAAATACAGTTAAAAAAGAGTTTAATGAACTACAGGAGGTCTGAATGCAACATAAAGGGAAGAAAAAAAGGAAAGGGCAATAGCCATACAACACTCACACAAGCCTACTGGGACAGCATGAATTGGGGTGAAGGCATGTGGTGGCAGCACCAGCGGCAGGTATGCAGGTACCCTGATGCCTTTGACATTCTCAGGCAGCACGAAGCTATCTGGCAAGACTGCATGTGAGTGAGAAAGGGATCCTAATTCTTGGGTCATGATGCTTTTAAGTGACATGATTAGGAAAGAAGTACACCCCTGCCTGTGTGATCAGTGGAAGGGATATAATCACAATGTGATGTGTAGAATCTTCAATCTAATAGGTCAGAAATTTGTGCCTATTGTTACCCTGTGAGCTTAATACTATTGGCTGAGGTAGCTCCCCTGCCTCCCATGATCTGGAAGATGACTCCCAGACTTGCAGATATGGCTACAAGATAGGGTTAATATAGTGGTACACTCTTCCATGTCAATATATGTCTTAGAAAACAAGACTCATTTCTGACATAACAAGGACCTGGGCAGGATGGGGACAAGCTTTGCAAGAAGCCCAGTCCATTTCTGAGCACATGGCTTACAGAGACTCAAACTTGAACTTAATTTCACTCTTAACACAGCACTTAAGGAATAGTCACGTGGCATTATCCGACAAAGTTAGAATAAAAGTTCTGAAAAAAGAACATATTCATGAGAAACAATCCATGAAGAAAAAAATGGTAGAGAATTTTTCAAAATTACAGACTTAAGTCCTCAAATTGAAAATGCATATTACATTCGAAAACAGATAAATAAAAACAAGTCTATGCCTAGAAATTTCAAAATGAAAATGTGGTACATCAAAGACAGAAATATAAATTTAAGAGCAACCAGAAAGAAAAGACAAATAACCAAAAAAGAAATGACATTATGCCAACATGAGACTTCTGTGGTGACTAGTCTCCATAGATGCGGCCCAGTGATTCTCCCCTTCCCTATGAGCAGAGAACACAATGCTTCTCTCTTCAGGAGTTCCAGCTGCCCTTGACTCTGGACTAGCCTCTATTCTGACCAGCAGAATGCAACAGAGGTGACAGCTGAGACTTCTGAGTCTAGGCCTTTGGAGGGTGAATTACACTTTTTTGTTCTTGCAACTTGTTTGTTACTGCAAGATTCACAACACCATGCTAGGAGAAGCCAAAACCACACAAAGTAGCCACGTGGATGAGAAGAATCAACAGACCCAGGTAAGATTCTAACCACAGCCAGCACCACCTGCCAGGCATGTGAACATGACATCTTTGAAGTTCCACTAAATCAATTCTCTAGATAACTGCAGTCCCAACCAACATCAAAAGGAGAAACCACCCAACTGAGGCCAGGCAACTTGCACAATTATGACAGATAGCATTATGGCTGATGTTTTAAACCACTAAGTTTCATGTAATTTTTAAACATGAGTAGAAAATGAAAGCATTTCTCAGTAGCAATAGCAGGTATCAGAAGATGATGAAAAAATATCTTTTAAATGCTGAGGAAAAACTAAAGCTCAACACAGAATTCCAAAATCAACTCGATATCTTTTTAGAGTAAGATCAGAATACATTTTTAGACAAACAGTGGAAGTTCCTCATTAATTCATCCTTGTAGAAAGAAATACTACTGAAGGACATGTGATTTATAAATATGTTAGTAAATCTGAATAAACACTGACTTGGTTAAAAATAAGATAAACTTACAATATTAAAAAGTTTCTTATTTGTAAACTAACAATTATAATTTACATTTTGAGATTTTACACTGGTACTTAAGATAACATTAGCATGCAGAAAATGATCTAAAGAATAGCCAACATGTATGGAAGCATCCTTAAGAGCATACACTGACAATTTATCAAATTTTCACCTCTTCTTCCCCACACATAATCCTCCCATCCTTCCACACCTGAGAAGGTCTCACTCCCAGTCATCAGGAGATTAGAAAAGGGATATTTTTAAAAGAGGAAAATGAAAGAGGACACCAAAACAAGAGAACTCTCCTGACAGAGAGACAAAAGAACTCTCCTGGATCCAGAAACAGCATCTGTTGCCTGATTATCTTATTCTGACATTTTATGTGCTTTGTCACAATCAGAAATCATGTTATGGACATGAAATATGAAGGATGAAGTTATGACAAAAAAAGCATCTTACACAAAAAACTTGAAGCAAAGAACTCCTTGTAACTATATGAACTATTAATTTTCTCCTCCTATCTCATTGTTAAAATACAAATTTTAATGTACTTAAAATTTTCAGAGTCCCAAATGTAAAGAAAAGAAATAACACTCAATTTTCAATTAACACACTCATCTTAGAAAGTGATCAATTATTTTAAAGAAGGCTTATATTAAGCAATACTTACTTTAACAGCAAATTTCTTAGATGCCATGGCTTACAGATTCTCCACAGCAATTATAGGGCCTTTAAGAGAAGAGAAAAGAAACTCGTAATTACATAAGCTTTCTTTTTATTTGAACATATTATAAGAAAAACTGACTGAATAAATAAAACATCATACGTGTTTGTAAAATGAATATTCTCTTATAAATGTCCTTAACCAAAATGCTATGTTGAATTAGTAACTTAAAAACTGCTCACAAAGAAAAGCACAAACCTAGGTAGCCTCCATGGAGTAAACTACCAAGTGGTTAAAGAAATAATTTTGAACCTTTAAAAGGTTTAATTTTATTAAAAAATAGAATTCTATTAAAAAATTATTTTAAAAAATAGAATCATGAGGAAAACTCCTCAAATCAAATTGGTACAAGAGACTAGTCTTGTACCAATACCACACCAGATAAAGATGTAAGAAAACTACATTAATATCCCTTATAAGACACAAAAATCCTCAACAAATATTAATAAGCCAACATATAAAAAAACATATAAAAAAGATTAGACCCTAAGAACAAATTGGATTTAACCGAGGAATGAAAGGATGTTTTGATACGTGTAATTAAACACATTATATATTTATGGAATAAAGGGGGTAAGTGCACATGATCATCTCAAACACAAAATAATTATAAACAACAAAACCCAAAACACTATTTAAAAAAAAAATTTTTTAAGTACTGGGGATTGAACCCAAGGGTACTCTACTATTGAGTACATTTCCAGCTCTTTTTATTTTTTGTTTTGAGATGGGGGTCTTGCTAAATTGCCCAAGCTGACCTTGAACTTGCAATCCTCTCGTCTCAGTCTCCAGAGTTGTGGGATTTCAGGCATGTACCACTGCAATGGACTCCAAAACACTCTTTTCATTTAAACACAAACACTCACACACAATAGGAATACAAGGGTATTCTGCATCCTGATTAAAGACATCTATGAAAAACCCACAGCTAAAATCATACTTAATGATAAATGACTAAATGTTTTCTCCCCTTAAGATGAGGCAAGACAAAAATATCTGTGCTCTTGCCATTTTTATCCAACACTGTACTAGGGTTCTGGCCAAGGAAATCAGGCAAGAAAGAGAAATAAAGGGCACCCAAGTTAGGAAGAAAGAGATAAACCTATTTTATTTCCAAATAACATGTTCTTATATATAGAGAACATCAATGAACTATTAAAAAAACTATTAGAATTAATAAATTCAGGAAGGTATAAGATGATATCTCATAGTGGTTTCCATTTGCATTTCTTTGGTGGGTAATGATGAGAAGCATCTTTTCATGTATTTATCTGCCAGTTTTATATTTTCTTATTCTTTTTGGTTTGAAGTATGAAAGCTTTTAATTTCAATGAAATCCAATTTACTATTTTTTTATTTGTCATATGTGCTTTGGTATCATATCTAAGAAACTATTGTCTAATGCAAGGTCACACAATTTATACCTATGTTTTCTTGTTTAGTTTTAGGTTTCTATTTTATTTTGAGTTAATTTTTGTATGTAGTGTGATATAAGAGACCAGGTTTATTATTTTGCACGTGATATCCACTTTTCCTAGCACCATTTATTGAATTTCCACTTCAAATTGTATTCACACTCTTGCTGAAAATCAGTTGTTTAAAATCAGTTGTCAATAAATGAGATGCCATTTTTGGAGTCTTGATTTTATTCCATTGTTCTGAATGTCCATTCTTACGCTAGTGCCACATCGTTTTGATTGCTTTAGCTTTGTGTTAAGTTTTTAAAAAGAGAAAGTGTGAGTCTTTTTCAGTATTGTTTTGGCTACTCCAGATCCCTCGCATTTCCATATACAATGTAAGATAAGTTTATTAATTTCTATAAAGTCAGCTGGAATTGTGATACAATTGTTCTGAATCTATAAATCAGTTTGGTAAGTATTGCTGCCTTAACAGTATTAAGTTGTTCTAATCCATGAACATGGGATGTTGTCTCATTTCCTTGTCTTTAATTTCTCTCAGTAATTTTTTTGAAGTTTTTCTTTTTTCCTTTTTCAGTACTAGAGATTGAGCTTAGGGACACTTACCGCTAAGTAACCCCAGCCCTTTTTATTTATTTACTTACTTATTTTTGAGACAGGCTTTTGCTAAATGGCCCATGCTGGCCTTGAACTTGTGATTCTCCTGCGTCAGCTTCTTGAATAGCTGGAATTTACAGGTATGTGCCACTATGCCCAGCTCCAGTAATGTTTTATGACTTTTGGTATGTAAATATTGTACCTATTTTGCTGTTTTCATTCCTAAGTGATCTTTTTCACGCTGTTGTAAATGGAATTGTTTTCTTAATTTTATTTTAGGATTGTTCCTTGATGGTATATAGAATTACCGGTGAATTTAAAAATATTGATTTTATATCTTTAAAAAGTTAGAGTCGACACATGATCCAAGATTTCCATTTCCACGTATGTACCTAACAAAAGTAAAAATATTATGTCCAATTTACATAGGAATGTTCATAGTAGCATAATTACAATAAACAAATTGAAAACAAACCAAATGTCAATCAATAATGAATGAATAAACAAAATGTGTTATATCTCCACAATCAAATTTTATTTGGCAATAAAAAGGTAAGTACATCCTTTATTGTGTTCTGTCAGAGGCTCTCTGGACTGGAAAACAATAGACATAGTAGAAGGTAGGGCTACCCTACTAAAAGAAAAGTATTCGGAAATATTTACAGAGGGAGACCTTTCCCAGCCCACACGCCACTCTATCCTGCCTAGATACTCCAGATGGGAAACTGAAACCTCCTCATTCAGGAACTGGACTGAACTAAAGGCAGGATCTAAAAATACTGACATCAGGGGTTCCCCAATGAAACAGCCTAGACAGATGGCTCTAAAGTGAAGTCCACAACCACAAGCCCCACACCCATATACAGAAATTCTAGTCATCATTTTCATGTCCCATTCTTTAATACAAATAAACAACCAGTAATCACCTATCATGTAAGGCAAAATATAGTCATTTTCTGCCAAACAAACAGAAAATATTACTTGCTAAAATGGAGACTGTGAAGGAAGAAACATTTTCTTTATGCTGTTGTTAAGAAGATTTTTAAAAATGACATAAATGAAGCCAAAAATTACTTTTAAAAAAGAAAACTTGTGGAAAAATGACAAATTAAAAGTATGAAAGCTGAAATTAAAAAAAAATTTACTTGAAGAGTTAGAAGTTCAAGTTGAGTAAATCTCTCAGAAACTTCAACAAAATTGAAAAAGATGAAAAATAAGAGAATAAATTAAAGGACCAGTATAGGAGGAGTGGCACATAAAATTCAGGATGAAAACAGACCCACATTTGGGCATATCTAAGTGAAATTTTAGGCACTAGGGACAAATCTTACAAATTTGAGGGGTGGGTGGGGACAGAAAGCAGAGAATACAATGGATCAGGTGTCAGAATTGGCTCCAAATTGCCCAAAGCAACTCTGGAAGCTAAAAGCCTATAGAGAAATATCTTCAAGAGTCTAAGAAAATTGTTTCCAAGCTCCAACTGCATTTAAACATAAGAGAAGAAAAAAAAAAAACATTTTTAGACATGCAAGGTCTTTAAAAATGTTATGTCCCCTGCATCCCTTCTCAGGAAGCTACCAAAGATGTGCTGCACCAAAATGAGGAAATTAACCAAAAAAGAGGAAGATGTAGGAAATATGAAGGCCAAGATAGGAGAAGACTTGAGGAAAACCTAGGATCCTAAAAGGAGATCCCTGCATGAGAGCTGTGGGGACAGGCAGAACCACTAGAACAGGACGTTGCAAGATTCCAGGAGTGGCATATCCTGAAATGTCTGCATAGATGCTGATGAATTTGGGGCAATTAGCAGAGAACATGAATTGGAGTTCCTTAGGAAAGTTCCATGGAAAGCTACATAAATGAGAAATAACTAGGCAACTACTGATCCCAGGATAAACAAGATCCCTGCCAAAAATAGTTAACACACAATTATGACTAGCATTTACAGTCATAATAGCAAATACTGAATCTTGCCCTAAAAATATTACACTTATGACATTAGAAGAAAGGGGAATGTGTGTGTATGAGTGGATGTAGGTAGTGGAGGCACAGGAATTAAAGGAAACAAAAGCTCCTTCTAATGTTCATTAAGATCAATAATATTAACAACAGCAGTTATGATAGCAGAAATATGGCCAAATAATTTTGAGTTAAATGAAAACCCAATTCTTAAGTTAAACTTGGCCCCAACCTGAAGAACAAGATAAAGTGAGCTGACACAGAGGAAGGAAGGAGTGAGATGGATGACATCATTCATAAGCCTTGTGCTTGGGACTATTTGCCTGTTGAAATGTTGTGTATACAGCTGAGGATGTAACTCAGTAGCACAGTGCTTGCATAGCATGTGTGTGTCCCTGGGTTCAATCTGCAGTATAGAAAACAAATTGTTCACAGATGCTTTTCCAGCAACACTGTCCTACAGAAATATAATGCAAGCCACAAATGTAATTTTAAGTTTCTTAACTGATGTACCTAATAAACAGGTGAAATTGACATCAATAATATTTTAATCCAATATTACATATTAGCATTTTGACATATGATTAATATAAAAAAATTACATTCTTATCATTTTAACCAAGTGTTTCAAATAGGGTATTTTATATTTCTAGCATGTCTGTTTGAACCAGCCATATTTCAAGTGCCCAGTAGCCACTCGTGGTTTGTGATTATCATGTAATGAACAGTTTGAGAGTGTGTGGGTTTTTTTAAGTGAGAAAAGCACTTATTTCTGTATCCTGAATAACATTTAACTCAGAATTATTGAAAGGACTAATAAAATGACAGATAGGGCAGGGGATACAGCTTATACATGAAGCCACAGGTACCAAAAAAAAAAAAAAAAAAGAGAGAGAGAGAGAGAGAGAGAGACATATAAAAACACTCAATATGTTTATTTATAAACAGGAGACTTCCTATGAGCATTAACAATTACTATTATCTAGTCAATAGTGATTTTTTTTTAAAAAAATCTGATGAATTTAGTGATT